AGAAGGGTAATGGCATAGATGAGAGCACTGACCGCAGAAAAGTAATACGGCCCCTATATGATAGAAGTCGTGAAACCCAACCTAAGATCCTGTTCCTGACCTTCTGGATAAAGTTATCATAAATAAAGCTCCTCTTAGCCCCCTTGAATGTGGAGACTCCTAGATAAGTGAACAACTGCTGTTGGTGTCGAAAACCAGTCAAAATCTCCAATCGTCTGATCTGACTAATAGATGCCCATTTGGGTAGTATGAGTCCGCTCTTGTCCCTGTTCACCAACTGACCAGAGACCCCCTCATAATACTGCAGATAACCAAGAATCCTCCTGATAGACTATTTCTGACCGTTGGCAAATATGATCATATCATCAGCAAATGAAAGGTTCGAGACAAGAGTACTAATTTGCAGCAATGTTGAACAAGGATGGTGAGATAGGATCTTCCTATCTGAGCCCTCGTAAAGATGGAAAAAACCACATGGACGGCCATTTAGGAGTACAAAAAATTGACACTCCGAGATGCACCGCCTATTCCTATCGATCCAGATCCAATCAAATCCAAATGCCTCTAACACATAATAAATGAAGCTCCAATCCATACAATCATATGCTTTAGTCATATCTAGCTTCAGCATCCCGTTATCCCATCGCATTCTATTATCTACCGTATGGAGAAGCTCCTGAACCAATAGAACATTGTCCTCAATTAAGCGACAGGAATGAACCCACTCTGTTGTGGAGAGATAATGTGCGGTAACAATATACTCAATCTAGTGTTCAAAAACTTAGTAATAAGCTTATTGAACACAGTACAAAGACTGATAGGTCTGAAGTCGGTCCATCTACAAGCACCGTTTCTCTTAAGGAGCAAAACTATAGTAGTAGCAGCATCCCGTGGAAGATGGCCTAAAAAAGTCCAAGACTGCCTTCTAAACGTCGTCCTGAATAATGTCCCAACAATGTTGGAAGAATAGGGATGAAAATCCATCCGGTTCGGCAGCACTATCGACGTCTATTCTAAATACCACCTCCCGAACTTTATTAATCAAAGTGATGCGGTTTAGTGCCAAATTGTCATCCTCCGTCAAAAGCCTGGGGATGATATCAGTACGAATGGGGTCCACTGACTGTGTAGGAGCAGATAGAAGATCTTGGTAGAATGCAATAGCTGAAGTTTGAATGTCAACAGGAGTTGTTAAGACTACCCCTTCTTGCGTCCTGATGGACCTAGTACACGATTTGATCCTACATCCTTGAACCATCACATGGAAATAATGAGTATTATAATCTCCTTCACATACCCATTGTGAAACGGCTTTTTGCTTCCAAAAACCCTCCTCAATAGATAAGGTTCGATTCAAAACTGCTTGTGTATGATGTAATAGGTCATGATGCTCCAATATAGGGTCTCTATCATATACTGTCTCAGCCACATGTACCCTATCCTCAGCATCACGTACCAGTTGGAAAATATCTCCAAACACATGTCGATTCCACCAATGCAGTCCCTATTTCAGTCTAAAGAACTTCTCCCAAAGAGCAGCCATCCCTGTAAGATGAGAAGGGAGTGACCACTTCTGAGCGACGAAGGATGCAAAATCATGATGCTTGGTCCAAACGTTGAGAAATCTGAAAGGTCTAGGCCCCAAATCATCATCAGAAACCCACTAAATTAATATAAGCAAATGATCAGATGAGGTCCGATTCAAGTGCCTAACTGTAACGACCCGGCCTCACACCGAATCGTTATCTTACGTACTGTTCACTTCGGGAGAGCCTAGGCTCATCTTACTCCTCACTACTTTCTGACACATCCCCTAGGATTCGAACCTAAGACCTCCATCATATGGGAGACTTAAGTTGAATCCTGGTACCAATTTTGTAACGACCCAGCCTCTCACCAGAGCCGCTATCTTACGTACTGTCCGCTTCTGGAGAGCCTAAGCCCATCTTACCCCTCACGACTTTCTGACGCGTCCCCCAGGATTCGAACCCAAGACCTCCATCATATGGGAGACTTAAATTGAATCCTGGTACCAATTGGGCAACTTGTCCAATTGGTACCAGGATTCAACTTAAGTCTCCCATATGATGGAGGTCTTGGGTTCGAATCTTGGGGGACGCGATAGAAAGCCGTGAGGGATAAGTGGGCATATGCTCACCCAAAGCGGACAGTATGCAA